CCGAAAACACTGAAATATATATTTTTGTATTTGAAATACGGAATGAACCATTTGCCTTTAAGAATGGAAGCTATTCAGCATTCAAACCAATATGAGAATGTGGAATTAATAAATAAATAGGTATATGTCATTGTTAATTGGCATTTTGTGTTCGAATCCAGACGATCCAGGTGACCCAGCATCTGTGTCTAGACACAATACGACACAAATCCGGTTGTAACGCAAACACAGATAAAAAGATAGATTTTTTTTATGTTCTGGTTCCCACGAAAAGGGATATCCTGTGATGTTCAGAGAACATCGTGAGAACCAACGGAAATAAGGTAGGAATTTGTGTTCTTCTTAAATTTCTGGAGGTTATTTGCCTCGGGGAACAGCTCCCTTGGTAATGTGTTCCAGAGCCTCACTGTTCGTTGGATGAATGAGTCTTTGGAGAGAGATGTTCTGCAGGTCTCCAAAGTGACCACGAGGGGGTGCGAAGCCTCCACTCGACGGGTTAATCTCGCGGGGATTGCCAAGGAAGGAAAAATTCTTGATATTTCAGAAGAGCAACGTCCATGAGAATATCTATAAAATAGAGCCAGATCGCCAACTTTTCTACGGTGTTCCAGAGAAGTGAGTGGGTTTGTGAGCGAGGCACCACTCACGAGACGAATTGCCCTTTTTTGGACAGAATCCAACAGTTTCAGGGTATGTTTGGGTGCTGCACTCCAAATATGGGAACAGTATTCGAGGACAGGTCGGATCTGTGCCTTATATATAGATCATAAGCAGCTGACTGGAAGTGAAATAGTGAAAGTGAAAGTGAATCTCACGTGATTTCCCCAAGAAAGGTTATTGCTGATAGTAATACCAAGCATCGAAATAGATTTCTTCAAAGGTATGGTTACTCCGGACAAGCTTATGTTGAGCACAGTGAGATCGGCTTTTCTAGAGAAAAGGCATGCTTGTGTTTTGTTTGCATTGAAATCTACCAAGTTATTGGATCGCCTTTCGAAAATTGTTGCCAAGCCCATATTTTTGTTGTCAACATTTCTCCCTCGATCGTTTCTGATTTGCCTGGCTGGTATTGGAGCCCTGGGAGAGAAGGCGGTATGGAGGGTACTATCGTCCGCGAAGCTATTGTCATCCGCTAAATATAGGTAGAAATAAAAGGATAATCCTTGGAAAAGTAGATCAGTACGCCCATTAACGCAGTGGGATAACCCGTACACGAGAGCATGAAGTTTTCGAACCATTCCCAATTCTGATTGTCAAATTGATCACAGTGAATCACGTGATACATTATGGACTCAATCGCATTCTCTCGTGAATTATTAACAAAACCCTCGGGGTTTCGAGAGGAAGGAAAAACATCCTTGAAAGCCTGAATCAATACATAAATGATCACAGTGGGCTGACGCCACGCTATTAGTGGACCAGAATAAAACTTTCTGAGCAAACTCAGCCTCCACAATTTTATTGCGAAAAATAATCATAAAAAAACAACAATCTCAACATATCAGGTGATGGGAACAGTTCGAAAGATTTAGGAACTTCTACCCGTACTCGTATTCAAATAATAAATTCCCAAATAAAAGTTCCTTACAAATGACAAAATGTTCTAGACATCAAAGTTTTTCTCAGTTGAATTACAAGATAATGAGCTACTTCACTGACATTTCAACAAAGATTGCAGCATTTGATGACAGTTTTCGGAAGTTTTTTGATATGAAGATGGGATCTGAGCGTCTCTTCGAATGTGATCTCTTGATTTAAGCATCGGTTTTAAAGACCCAGTTCAATATTTCAAACTCCACCCACTAAGCAAAGTTGAAAGCTTTGTTTATGTAATGTTGAAGCAATTGCTGAAACGGGCGTTCAGCAATATTGCGAAGGTGAAGTTTGATATGTTAGCGTTGCAGCAATATTATGACATGTTGCTGTGACATTGCTAGAACGTTACATTTACAAATTTACATTTGTAATATTGCTGAACGTGCGTTTCAGTAATTGCTACAACCTTGCATCACCATAGCTTCCAAATTTGCTTAGTCGTAGGACTAAGGTATGACGTTGTTTCTTCTTGCAATCTGATTGGTTGGGCTAGGAAGAATGCGGTTGTCGTATTTAAAGATTCAGGCTAACACTCCGAAATATCAATATACAGTTTGGTCAAAATTTCACTAGAATCGGACGAGAATTTAAAAAGCTACAGGGTGATCAATATGGCCAAGTTCTTTGCTGGCCGATGAGTGTGTTACTCGAAATATATTTCTGGAAATTACTGTGAAAGCCTTTTTGGAAATATATTTCGTGTGTGAATAAAATGAATTATTAATTAACTATATTATACCTATCAACATCTTCTTCAGTGATGTCCATCATGGATTTTAACCATCCCATGCCAGCATTATTCACCAATAAATCGATTGGACCACAATTCTTGAGAACACCTTCTGTTTTACTCCAATTGGCGATATCCAATTGGATAGTTTCGATGTTGGGATCCTCCTTTTTCAGAGAATCTTCGGTGAAATACAGAATATTATCAAGTTGGTAGAATTCAAAAAATTAAGTAATACGACATTGACTGACCTAGTTGATCTTTGGTTCTTCCAACTGCAATAACTTTCGCTCCACATTTAGAAAGCTGAAGGGCGATATCTCTCCCAATGCCTTGATGAAAATATAATAATAAAAATAGTTATTTATTATACATGCAGGGGGAAAATAGTAGATTTTAGCTCCAGATAAAAAACCGTGAGCTAAAATCTGATATATTTATCTCGTGTGTAATACACTATTTTTTTTCTGTGACAGCAAAAAGGACGAATCACTATTAGAAGATATTGCATTATATTGAAATCAGAAAATTATTGACGTGAAATTTGAAGTTTTTAACAGTAATGACACCGGCGTTGAAGGCATCTTTATCATTCTTTTGAAGTAATCAAATATATATTATCTGTCAGTAAGATTATGTGATTTGATTTTGATAAATTGCGAATTTAGTGCTTGTTTAGTAATATACGTAACCGCGAAGTCGAATGGAAGATAAAATGACTTCGCAGTTCTTTCTCGGAGACGGTGTTATTGGCTTGACAAAAGCCATCAACATCAGGGCATATATACAAGGTGTTATTTATGTATGTGGCCAAACTCTTCAAGGGGTGATTATCAGGGTGATTCTGAGATGGAAAGTTTATGTAAACATAGGTGCTGAAATGCTTCGTTTTCAAGATACAGGGTGTCAAAGTTTCAATAGGAAATCTTTTTTTTTTATTAATTAGTGAAAATTCTGGTTTTCAATTTCGATAGAACTCAGTGATTTTGTTGACTATATCAAGAATCTTTTGTTGGTGCTGGTAATCAGATTCGAAATAATGATTCCAGGGCGTCATAGATTTTTTAGATATTTTTATCAAATTGTACTATTGAAAATACAACTTTCTTGTCCCCAATTGAATTAAGGTATATTATTTTTTTTTTCCTGAGGAAATAACGAGAAAGCAAATTGATTCCAAATTCTAATCTAGAACACTCATTTGGATTACCCAATAATCTCAATGAGTAGTATTCTTCTGCAATTTTGCGACTTTCTCAGCCACCAACCAGACTAAATTCTGCAATGATGAAAGCTTACACAGTGTAATCATAAAATACACGAATCAATACTTCCAACTTCCAACTTCAACACTCTGTATTTCAAAAACGAAGCATTTCAGGACTTGTGTTTATACATTGTGTATGAACTTTTCGTCTTAGAATCACCCTTGAGGTGTGGCCTCATACTCAAATAACACCCTGTATATATGTCATATATATCCGGGAAAAAAGTAATCCATGAAGAGTGACATTTTATGATCTGTCAACAGAGATGAAATGACAAATATTTTTTCCAGTCACAGATGAAAAATAGTTCATTTGAATATGCAGATCTTCAATTAACACAGTATTTGGAGTATTAATTACCTACAATATTTCAAAGTATTTATATCTTATTGTATTGCAGTTATGTTTTTCATGAGTAAGCTCTTCATTTATTCCCTAAATACAATTATTTTTGTATACGGCTATAACATGAAATTGCTCTCTTGTAAAAGGCTGCGACACAATTGAAGTTTTATGTTATTAGTGTTGAAAGTTTTACCGTACGATTGAATTTTGTGATAGGCATTGGAATATACGCGAAAGGAATTGATTATCATTCTGAACAGAGTGTTCACCAAAAAACGGGTGTGTTGTTTTGGTGTTTAGTGCTGTGGAAAATTTCAAACAATGAAATAGCAGAAGTGGACTCTTTTATACAAATTCATTTTGTTTTCACGCTAGCGAGTGTCTTTTTATTCATTATTTTATTGTACCGTCCTTTTCTCCTTTGCTTTTCTAGCTATATTTCTGAAATTTAAAGCATCGAATATGCTCACTAGAGGGTCCTTTTTCACATTCTAGGTTTTTTTTTCATCATCCGGTTTTCCTGGAAATGACATTAACTTTTGATTTTCAAATGGGACAGCCTGTATTTTTTCCATAATCGGTTGGGGATTATCATAACGAATTCAACGATACCGGGTTTGATTGGGATATTACGAACGATTTCAAGATTCAGAATTCTGATCACCCTGCATCTGTTCCAACTACATGTCTGTAAATAGTAAATCAGTGTCAGTTGTTGTTGAAAATATTTTAAAACGATGTCCTCCTCAAAAATATAGCTGATGTGTTTCAGCGTTTTTATATAATCCGGTTCTGTCGACCTAAAGATCCGCTGTTTCGTTTCCACTGCCCCACCCTGTATATTCTCAAATGTGATATTTTTTTGATCAAAAATTGTTTGCCTGTATGTCACTATTGTGAATTGTTTCTCGACTTGTATATGAGAAGCGTTATATTTCTCCACTACATATACTGTCCGGTTGAATTCTTTCATATCACGAGAGATTTTTGTAAAAGATATATTATCAGCCTGTGATGAATTCTTTCATAATATCTTGGGAGATTTTCTCAAAAAATAATCCACCACTCTTCGTGCTCAATTCTTCATCTGGTATTTAGTTTACTATACATTTCGAATATATTTAACCATATAAAATATTATACAAAGTGTTACGAACTTTGAGATATCTCCGTTTGGTCGAACATTTCATCATATTGTATTTTTTTCTTTTTCAAGAGTTGGATACGATTTTCATAGATATTGAACTAGTAATGGGATACAAATGTGAATTTCGAAAACGAGTTCCTGTAACATACAACTTCGTATTTATTACAGAAAAGATTTCTTTGAAAATGAAACACTTTGTATAACAGAAAATAAGTTTAAATATTTTCAGAATCACATCACATACCACCCAGATATACGTCGGTGAACCAAACACCCTGAATATAATTTTCCCCCGTATAATTTCATTATCATCATTAGTCATAGACTCGGTCATAGATGAATCATTTGTTCAGAAATTAATCGGTTAGCAACATGATTCAATTTATTAGTCATTCATTCGGGATCAGTGGTTGATCAAGACAGTCTCATATTAGATTTCATCACAAACGGTCGAATTTTATGACAGGCATTGAAAAATACGCGAAAGGAATAATTAATAATCATTCCAAACAGAGTGTTCACTAAAAAAATAGTGATAGTATCGTGTTTTTGTGTTTCTCATTCGAATCATTGATCACATGATAGCGATTGTGTGGTGTTTTGGAAGTGGACTATTTTATAGAAATTCATTTTGTTTTCACACTGGTGAGTGTTATCTTCATTATTTTATTATGAGTGATATACTGACACAGAGGCATGGTATAACCCCATTTCTCCTTTCTTTTTCTAGCTATATTCCTGAAATTTGAAAAATCGAATATGCTCACTAGAGGGCACCTTATCACATTTTAGGATTTTTTTTTCATCGTCCAGTTTCCCTGTTTTCACGGTGAGCGTTAATTAGACGGATCTGAAAATTTGATTATATTTATGAATTTACATGATCTACACGTCTTATAAATTTTTTACGATGCAGCGTTGCCGCTTTTACTAGAAGGTAGCAGCAACTTCGAATTTTCAAATGGAACACCCTGTATTGCATTTTTATATTCTCCATGTGGATCTTATTTCATCAATGCATCACTCTTGAGGTCTAGCGGGGATGATTACAGAGATATAGAGTGTTCAAAATCGAGATTCCTCAATTTTAAGATTATTTTGTGTCAAAACGGCTTCCGTGTCCCTGTCTTAATTTTGGATTCACTATTTACTGACATTTAATTGAAACAGATACAGGGTGATCAGAATTCTGAATCTTAAACCACCCTGTATTTTTTCCAATTTAATGTCAGTGGATAGAGGATCAATAGTTATGAAAGGAACACGAAAGCCGTTTTGACCGATAATGAATAGTTTCGACACAAAAATATCCTAACATTGAAAAGTCTTTATTTAAAACACCCTATATCTTTGTGATCACCCTTGCTAGACTCCAAGTGCGATACATTGATGATATCTGATCTTCAGGGATGATCTAAAAATGCAATGAAAAATCATAGTTGCTGCTACTTCCTAGTAGGAGCGGCAACGGAGCATCGATTGAAATATTGTATACGTTTAGATCATGCCAATGTTTACATATCATCAAATTTTCATATTGATATTTTGCTTGGTTTGCCAGATACGTCTGATTAACCCTCATCGTGAAAAACCCTGTATATATTTCTCCCCCGTATAATTTTATCATGATCATCAGTCATAGATGAAATTGATCGGTTAGTAGCATAATTCAACCTATAACTTATTCATTCGGGACCAGTGGTGAATCAAGACAATCCCATATTAGATGTCATCACGTACGGTCGAATTTTGTGATATTGAAAAATACACGGAAGGAATTGATTATCCTCGTAATTGTCATTCCCAACGGATTGTTTACTGAGAAATGAGTATACAGTGCTTTCCCAAAGTACTCAATGAATTCTTTTTTCGTCGACTTCTACAAAAAATCACATGTTACCTTCTAATTTCCGAACGAAACACAGACTTTTTCCGAAGGCAAGTACTTTTCGTCCGCAAACACTAGTTGTCCGCTGCAGGGTTGCCAATTCTACTGAATTTTCAGTAAATTTACTGATTTGCATATTGATCTGCTGATCTACTGGAACATTTCATAACCTACTGATAAATATTTTGACACTTATTTATTATAATTATAATTATCTATATTATTATTGATTTTAGTAATCACTTATACTTATAAATTGCATGATATTTCGGCAGGCTCTGTTTAAATTAATTTTACAAAATGAGTAATAAATGTACATAAAGGTACTAAAAGTAATGATAAATATGTATAAATCAGAAAAGGACAATACTTCATCTGATTCAGATCAAATTCAATTATTTATATACCTTCGTTATAACAGTTTGTTTTTTACGTTTATTTTTTGTATTTTTTTTTTTTTTTTTTTTTTTTTTTATCGATTGGAGCGCACGAAAGGGAATCCCTATAATGTTCAAAGAACATCGTGCGTTCCTAGGGAGGATAGGGACAGGAGGTAGGTATTGGAATTTTTTTTGAATTTTTGGAGATTATATGTTGTTGGGAATACTTCCACAGGCAATGAATTCCAGAGCCTAGCCGTTCTATGGATGAAGGAGTCTTGATAAAGTGCTGTTCGACATCTTT